TATGCAGAAACAGAGAAGAGGGCAATGCACAGTGTTAAGTCTACAGTGAATACAATGGTCTACATCTGGTAATACACTGGCAGTTGTGATGAAATAAGAAAAGTTCCTATATTTTTCTGCGTATGAGTTGCTCTCTTGTATTACACTCTGGCCTAATTACAATAATATAACATTTTGGGGTGAAGATGCATCCCAGTAAGCCAGCACTGGAAGAGAGGATAGAAAAGATCTCCACCACCACCATGTATTTTCCTTTGGTGCTCAGGTAGGTGGGCACAAAGGTCAGCCAAACGCTGCAGAAAACCAACATGCTGAAAGTGATGAACTTGGCTTCGTTGAAACTGTCTGGCAACTTCCTGGCTAGGAAGGCCACCGTGAAGCTGAGAAGGGCCAGGAAGCCCATGTAGCCCAGGACACAGTAGAACATGGTGACGGAGCCTTCATGACATTCTACTATGATTTCCCCAGGCAGGGTGTGTGGGTCCAGATTTGGGAATGGAGGAGAAGAACTCAGCCAAAACATACAAAGGCCTGCTTGAAGAAGGGATCCACACCAGACAATAGAATAGGTCAGCCGTTTCCCCACCCATTTGTGGAAAACATTTCCAGGTTTAGAAGCAAGGAATGCTACAATGACTGTGATGGTTTTGGCTAAGACAGAAGAAATGGCAACGGAGAAGATGATGCCAAATGCTGTTTGTCGGAGGAGGCAGGTCACCATATTGGGCTGCCCAATGAACAGAACTGAGCAGAGGAAACAGAGAAAGAGAGAGATAAGGAGAAGGTAGGTGAGACTTCTGTTGTTGGCCTTGACGATGGGAGTGTCCCGCTGCTTAATGAAGATTGCAAGCACCAAAGCTGTACTCAGGGAAAAGAGAAGAGCCAGCGAAACCAGAGTAATGCCTAGTGGTTCTTCAAAGGAGAGGAAATTCATTGTCTTTGGGATGCAGTCATCATGAGCTTGGTTTGGAAACTGATCCTCTGAACAACTGTCACAATTCTCCATGTCTGAAAAGAAGAAAAGAGTTTCTGAACAAAATCAAACTTTCCCAAAGTTTCAGAATTGCCTTTCTGGAACTTCCTCCAACATGAGTGTTCCTAAAACGTTTTGTCAGTCTCTATCCAACATGCATGTAAAAGATGAGTAGGAAAAAGGGATTCTAGATTTTTCTACATTTAAAGCCTTTTGGCCTGTTGGATTGCACTAGGTTTAGTAGCATTACTGAGCAAGTGAACAGCATGTCTCACTTTCCAAGTGTCTGACATCGAGTGGGAAAGAGAAAGGAGAAGAAGAAACAGAAAACAGGCAGTAGCACTAGAGGGTAGGCGAATAGGAAGTGTCCCATTTGATGGCTGCTGGCTTCATGTGAGGTGCCCCATCCCTTGTGTCAGATTCAACCTGAAGGACATGGAGATGGACCTGAGGACATCTCTGGCTTCTCTTCTTTTTCCTGTGTGAAATATATGTTTACAGTGGAAGTAGGAAGCCCACTGGAACTGGTCCATCACAAACTAAGAATTCCCTTTTCTTTTGAGCTGTTTCAGGTTTTTGCTTTCTTGATCTTAAGGCCTGTGATTGCTGATGATGTTCAGTATGTTCTGATTTCAGCAAAAGTCACATGCTTTGAGAGGCCATTCTCTTTTCTTTCAAACTGTTGAATGTTTCTGCTCTCCTGATTTCAGATCCTGTGATTTCGGATGGATGGGCCAGGTGCAACACAGATACAAGTAGCCCTTGCTTGATGACCACAATAGGGACCAAAAAGCTTGTTGTTAGGTGGGGCAGTCAATAAGCAAAATGTCACATGACCACACCTGATTTTACAACATTTTTTGCGGTGGTCATTAATTGAATCATATGGTCATTAAGCGAATCATGTGGTTCTTAAATAAATCATGCAGTTTCCCTTTGATTTTACTTACCAGACACTGGCTGGGAAGGTAGCAAATGGCGGTCATGTGACCCTGGGTTGCTGCAACCGACAGAAGTGCGAGATGGTTGCCAAACACCCAGATCGTGATCACGTGACCGTGGGGACGCTTCAAGAGTTGTAAATGTGAGGACCATTCATAAATAGCTTTTTTAGTGTCATTTTCACTTTGAACAGTCACTAAACAAGTGGCCATTAAGTGAGCACTACCTGTATATTTTGCTTTGATGATCCTTGAAAATGGCTTCAGTCTAATTCTTCCACCAAAACCAATTCATACTGCTTTTCTTCCAGAGTTTTGATTTCATTCTGTTTTAATTTCAAGCCAAACAGAAAGAGGCAGAACACTGACTCAGAGAGACATGTTCTTTTTCAGGTCATTGGGTTATCCATAATTTCTGCATTCTGCTTTAGCTTCTTCAAAAGTATGACATCTTATAATTCGTTAGACCAATAACTAGAGGGAAAATTAAATAGAGGAGGGACACTCTTTTAACTCCTATTTCATGGAAATCAGGAAGGCTGGAAGTACCATCATTGAGAGATGTTTCTCTGATTTTCCTGTTTTGAAGCCATTAAAATAAACACATTCAGAGTTTGATTTTGTTATCCAAGCTATGAAATGGTAAACAGGCTGCCCTGATGTACATCAGTAAAGCAAGCCATAATATTGAGGAGATCCTTGTTAAGTGGGATACGGGCTGAACTTTCAGACCTAGGTTCCTTTGGATGCTATGAATCTTACCCATATGTCTTGATACCATCTTTTCTGGACATGGAGCACAAGTATAACAGCAAAACTTCTGTCCTTCGATCTTGTTCTTTCTGTTTCCAAGAGGACAAGGTTCATTACATAATGA